CAGAAGCCGCAGCGCAAACAAAAGAAGCGTACGCCGCAAAAGCTTACCTTTGAGGAGTCCTCGGACGAAGAAGATGTAGCTTGTCTGTACTGCGGGTCCTTCTTCTCCATGTCCAAATCGAGCGAGTCTTGGTCGCGATGTGCTCTCTGCGATAAATGGGCGCACGATGCCTGTGCAGGGATTGATGAAGAGGACGAGTGCGTGTTCGTGTGCGAACTGTGCCGGGATGACTAAGCAGGCTGATGTCTTGTCTAGTTTCGCCATTGGTCGTACCTGTTGATGGATCCACTAGGCTGTCCTCTTCCGTGTTTTGCGTTCACAATGACTGAGGAGTGGATTGATGAGAAGAACGAGTGAGTGTTCCTGAGCGAAATTTGCTCGATGACTTGTGTGTTTGAGACTCGATCGTTGTCGTCTCATTGTGTAACCACCAGGCTGTGTTCCTCTAGTTCTGTGTCTAAGCCATGCACCAATGGCCGTCGCTTCATACCAAGCTGTAATACACATTTTCTGGTAGTAACAACTTTTATTTGTGGGATCATACTGAGGAAACGAGCATGGAGTGAGATGGTTCGAACAAAATATGAGAGCCCAAACTTAAGAAATGTAGAAATTGAATGTCCAGATAAATACCTACTCACCGAGCAATGCATGTGTTGATGCCTTTTCATTAAAAAATGATAACTTTGAACATATTTATTTCGCTTCTTCAATCTCATCACTTGTCCGTTTTGCCCCAAATACTGCTTCGTTTTGCCCCAAGCCGGGGGCAAAATGAGGGAAAAACGTTGCCTGATATTTAGAAGAATCACACTTTAACAGGAAGAGATATCGAACCAGCGCTTTTAAAAGAGAGAGACAATTGATCAGCCTTCAATATCCATCTGCTAAATACTTTTTGGACAGACTTATGAATTTTCCATTTTAAAAAACCGCTAAGATGCCCGTCTTGTCCCGCTTTCCACTACTATTTAACTATTAATCTGGTACAGCTAGCGCTGGCCGCATTGGCAAGAGTTGACTTTCAAGCGTTCTGCCCCTGAGTTGTCGGGCTTTCTGTATCATTGTCAATAACACACGTTCGAAACATGTTCTTACCGGAAATTTCTTGCAACTGGCTGGTACTCTCTCAAAAACAGTCATCCCGTGACAACGGTGTGAAAAGTTGTTTCGAGTATTGGATCACGTGACCTAATCTAGGGCAATGAATTGACCGGCAGTTAGGCTTTGAAGGGCTGGAAATATGTTAAAATGATGAGGAAAATGTAAGAAGAAATTTTGCTGCATGCAGCTTTTCATATTTCAAGCTACGCTGGAAAAACCTGAAAGGATAAGAAATGTTTCTCTCCCAGTTGGGTAACGGTTAGCAGTGCGTGCCTAGCTGCATGGCGGCAACAAATTAACACGACTTTCGTTTCAATTCTCTTACGTTATAATATTTCGCTCGATTAATCTAAAGAGGATCCGTGTCATCCATGTCTTCCCTGTCTTCAAGCTCCTCGAGGATTATTGCCCCTGGTCGCGCAGAAGCTACTGACCGCAGGGAGGCACCCAAGAGCGACGCCACCGGGGGACAAGGGTGAAGCCACTTGCCTGTGGTTTGCCTGGGGAAACATATATTTTAGTTTCTCCTTGAAATTTAAGGAGGCTCTGTCATACCGACGGTGGGCCGCAACTGACCGGGATATACATTGCGCATTCGAATGGCGGCGTTAAAAAGCGTGGCTTTGAATGGCGCAATTGAGTAAATCGCTTCATTTTTACAATGGCTCATTGAACTGCTTCTAGACCTATAGAAGCTATAAATTTTTTGAGATGTTGAGGACCTCGTGAACGTAGATTGTGGATAGAAATGAGCCAGACATTTGTGTAAATATGGCCAACCCGTTTTTGCCTGTAAATTTTCAGCATTCAGTCAGTCAGTTACGTTGCATTATCATGAAAACAATGCAACGCAGTTTTGAACATACACACTGCAAATCTTAGCAACAATAATTTCGACGCCCGGCTTTGCAGACTCCATAGGCTGCTGGGTGCCGTCCTCACGGCTAACAATAAGCAGTGGCCAACAGGGGGCAAACAAAAATCTGGTGGTGGAACCTGAAGATTAAAGGTAGAATTTCTATTTTTCGCGTGGCTGTAACTGTTAATCCAGCCAGGGGACAGCCTCAGAGCTGTAAATAAAGATACGCCGCGGTTTAATTTTTAAACGGTACGATTTATTTGGAAGACTTTCGGAAACATTACTTTTTGATGGTCGTTCTCGCGCGCAAGGTGCCTGCCGTCTGGTTTAACTTACAGTGGCCAATGCAACTAGGTTTTACGGAAACTGCAATCCTGGCTATGGCTGCTCTTCCTCCTGAGATCGCGAGCACGCAAGCTCAAAACTTTTTATGTAAGTTGGCTTGTTGATTCTGGCACATAAAGAACGTTTTCAGCCAAACATGGGTTGGCTTGTATTTTTTCGGAACTTATTTCGACCCACTCTTTTTAATACTAAGGAGATACTTACAGCCAAGTGACCCCCTTAAGTAGCACACTGAGTGTGTGGGGGGGGGGGCACATCATCGTTCGCGTCCATTTTGTCTCATCGCGGGTTACCTGCCGGACTACATTTTGGCGACACGTGAGCGGGGTCCCCTGGCCGACCCGGAGGCCCTTTGAAGGACACAGCTAATCACAGTGGTCCCTTCTCTGACGCGTGAGGCCTCGTGACTCGCTCAGTTGACCCTGGATCGACGCAGGAACCCACGTCTACGCAACATCCGCGCAACCGACGCAGATGGTTCGATAATTGGCGCATACTCTGTTTGGCTCAACGGGTCCATAACTGGAATTGGATTGAAGGGCCCAACGTTCCGTACTGGGCCCTGGCTGGCACAGGGCCATCGCATTGTCTCAATGCAAACTCTCGTGATAAGTTCTCGGGTTTCCTTTCATTGTCAGAGGGCCCCGACCAACGCAAGTGGTCCTCTGGCATTTGGGGAACCGACCCCCTCCCTGTTTAGCAAGTAGTCCCCCGGCCGACTCGGGGTCTCTTGTTGACACGGGATACTTTGTTAGGACTGTAGGCCCCTGACCGACACAGGAGCTCAGCATTGTTGCGGGGGCCCCGGCCAATGCGCATCGCGGGCACATATATGGGAAGGCAGGCGACACGAATAAGGAAGAACGGCACGGAGCCGACTGTTCGGTGTTGGTGTGCTCTGGCCGGAATAGAGGCCCCGCACTGTCCCGCAGGTCCACTGTCGATATAGAAGGGCCTTTGACTGACATTTTAGGTCACGACCCTACAAACAGGGCCATCAGCATTGTGACCTACGGTCAATCATTTAGGTTCTTCGGTACTATCAGCCCTCCAATTGGACTCTTGATCTTTGATCCCGAGGGGCCCTTCGGCCCCTTCTCGGGCATTCTCCAACAAAGCCAGTGACGAATCGTGGCTGCTTGCCAACACACGACCCCCTATTAAGCACCTGAGCCCTGGCCGACACAGGGGGCCGACCATTGTTTCAGGGGTCCAGACCAATTCAAATCGTGGACCCCGGCTTGCTCCTGCTTGGGAAATGGAAGTTGGACCCCAAGGCTCAAACTGACATGAAGCCAATAGTTCGGTGCTGGTGATCTCTGTCTCACTGTCTCAGGCCACGCTCGCATCACCTCAGGCGGTCCTCAAACGGTACAGACAGCCCTCTGACTGATGTTTCAAGTCACGGCCCCACGGGACGGATTTTTTATGTGACCTGCAGCTAGCCTTTCGTTTCACGGTACAGAGCCCTTCGGTTCTTATGCTCTCTAATCGGGCTCCTGCCTGTCGGTTTCGGCGCCCCACCCCGAGATCTTCTTTGAATCTCATTAAACACTGCCCTGAGTTGAATCTGGCCGCTTGCGAACACAGGACCCCTTTAGGCACTGTGGACTCCAGGCATACAGACTTCCCGACCATTGTAAATCGCTGACCATGGCTTTGTTCCTGCCTGAGAACTGGGGCCTCACGTCCATGCCGACACCTAGCTGGTTGTGCGGTACGGGTGTTGCTGCCCTACATGGAGGCGGCCCTTATCGACTCAGGGGCTTCCCATCGGCGCAAAAGGTCCTCAGGCTAGCATTAGGCCTGCCCTGCTGGCGGGGGCCCCCGAATACGACCCCGTCGGACCTTTTGGGCCCTTAATTGTCAGTCCCAAGGAGCCTGAAGGGTCCCTCGGGTACGTGCACCTGTACCCCTGTGCCTTATACCCGTTCCCACCCCTCCCCCCGCCTGGCTGCATCACTGGTCCGGGGTGCTCCAAAGTTGAGCTTTACTTCCATAAATCGCGCGGAATTTTGATTTACCTGTCCAGACTCTTCTGAGCTGCTGACTGTCCTGGCGCACTTTGTTGCATTTCGAGCATTTCAAGGAACGACGAGCAGCGCAAGCTGGCACAAGTGTTGTAGATTGCGTACTGCGTGTGGGCGTCGTGCGTGGGGCCGGTAAGCGGGGTGCGAGCCGCTAAGCCTTTTGGTATTATGTGTGGGCGGTGGTTCGGTCACGTGTTTTCCACTTTGTCGTGGACTAAAACATTACCTTTCTGTCCTTTAGCAAGGCAACTATGCCACGTAAAAGATGAAGTCCCTTGTCTGTGCCTGCTGTTTTCCACCATCTGTGTTTGTGTTGGTTACAGTGCTATTACCTAGCATAAAAGCGCTGTTGGATAGCACTTTTAAAAATAATCTGGTACAATTGGTGCGTAAGTGCCATGGAAATGTGAACTTTGGTGTTATAGCAGCTGCCAATGTGTGTTTTTCAGCTAAAACTAGGCCTTGCCCCATCCAGTTAAGATTACTTAGAAGGATGTATTACATGCCATGTTCATAGGCTTAACGTGTTTTCTGAAGCCAGAGCCTCATAGCTGCTGCCAGTTGTCATTGGAATTAGTCTTCAGGGTCATGGTTTTTTGATAGTGTGGTATTGAGCAGGATACCCAGACCTGGAAAGACTTATGTCCTTTCAGATATCTTTGTAGACATCTGGTCAAATGCTTAATTTAATCTTATGGCAACACTGCTCTTCCTGTGCCAGTGATGATGACAAGCAGCAATTCACTTTATCAAGAAAAGCCAGAATGAAGACCATGTCAGCAGTCAATTTTCTCTGACTTAGTTAACAATCATTTTTTGGTGTGGGTATTCACTTTGCTTCTGCGGTGAACACATTCTTTCCTGCCACATAATGATAAGTGCATATAGTGCCATCTTTACTTCCACATTGCAGTGTCATGATTTGCCATCACTGCTTTATTATAAATATGGAGCAGTTGATCCTTCCAGATCAGAGCAGATAATCCTTACCTTGTGATGTTTCTATGGTGATGGCTTACATGTAATTATGACTCATTTGCCCTGTCTGGAGCTCAGACAGAAAGCAAGTTCATAAAAGAGATAATATTTTCTCAATGATAGGGATGCTCATATGTTATTCAATGATAATTTAATCAATGTTGTAATTTGTATACAATAATAACAAGTATGTTGATCTGGGTCCTCAAATATATGCTGAACAAAACATTTGATCTCATGAAAAAGATGCCTAACCATGGTGTAACACCATGGTAGATAATAATGGCTTAATTCAACAAATTCAGGTTTGGCTAGATTTGATCTAGGTTTAGAATGGATGGAATGGAATGGATGGGAAGCTTGACATAACAGAAATCAGTCTTTAAGATAAATGAGCAAAGACAGCCACTGTGACATCCTAGAATGTTCACTAGATACATCTTAAAACCTCACTCCTTCCACATACTCTTCATTACTGATGATATCCTTACTTGGCCTATCACTGATGTCCACAACATGATGTCATGTCCATATAACCTGTATTTATTGCAGTTTGGCTTCCTGCCTAGTCTTCACAATCACATTGTGGTGCAAGCTTGCTCATTGCCATCTTTTCCAAACCTTTACAATGAATGAATTCCATGACTGACTTGTACTATTTACTGCCCTCAAGGTATGTTAGAATGGCAACATCCCCTCTGGTTATGGGTTTGGTGCCATGGAGCTTATTGCAGCATGTGCTTTGCATTCTGCTGTTGTGAAATAGAAAGTTCTCTTACTGCTCAGAATATGCCTTATATAATGATTTATGCTCTTGCACCACTTTGCTGATGTATTTTGTCATTTTCAGGTTTGCTGGCTGTTTACAACAAGAAGACATTATTTAAAATCATTATAACCAAGTAGCTGTGCCAGCATGCATTTTGTGTAGTCCTGATGTCAGGGCTGGTAGAAAACTGTTAGATATGCTCTTGAATTGATAACTTGAAAGCAATGCCTAGAATTGTAGGCAAAAGAGTTGTGGGGATGATCATTCGATCCCGCAAGTCTCTGACCAAGGAGGGCGTTCTGGTGAGTAAGCTCCTACAGTCCTTCCGGGCTAGTGTCATGGCATTGCATTGGTGACTAGTCATGGTGAAGCAAGAGTACAAGTTTGCTGAGTATGAGTTGGCATGCATTTGAAAACATGTTTGGTGGGAAGGAAAAAATGCTTGCAGTCCATGCATGGCCTGAGGCCAAAAGCTTGTTCACTTTGGCTGGTTTCAGATGTCAAAAATAGTAGTATTGTTTACATGCCTTCATTAAGTACTGCACATCTGGAAAACCAGAGGCATGGGGTTCGATTCTCAGCTGTGCCCACCCTTCCTGCCATATTGAGAAGCAGGCGCCGCCATATAGCCCGAGCAGCTGAGTGCGTCGTAAAGCCATAATGACGAACGAAAATAGAAGTATTGGCATGCATTTGAACAGATTTTCTTCACTTTCATTCCAGGGCATTGCATGTGGAATATATCCAACTGCTGGCACATGCATTGCCACAATAGCCTTATCACATTTTCAACAAACGCACAATCTCCAGGCAGACCACATCTCCTATGGCGTGATAGTAGCGTGGCGGTGCGTCGCGTGGCTCTGGAACCACCGCGGGGTAAGGTGGGCACAAGTTGTTCCAAAAGATGGAGGACCTGAGAAACGGCGCAAAACAAAATCACGAGTGGTCATTTGTGAACCATCATTTGGCGGCAGCGGCGTTGCCATGCACTGGCATGTGTATGCGAGCGACAGCTCGTGTGCCTATTTTGCTGGCACCTGTAACAGTCCTGCCGTTTGTAGACAATTGATGGTGGCCGACAGGATTCCTGAACTGGGTCACGGCTCGAGAAGCAACCGATCTGGGCCACGACAAATCTCTCTCTCTCTCTCTCTCTCTCTCTCTCTCTCTCTCTCTCTCTCTCTCTCTCTCTCTCTCTCTCTCTCTCTCTCTCTCTCTCTCTCTCTCTCTCTCTCTCTCTCTCTCTCTCTCTCTCTCTCTCTCTCTCTCTCTCTCTCTCTCTCTCTCTCTCTCTCTCTCTCTCTCTCTCTCTCTCTCTCTCTCTCTCTCTCTCTCTCTCTCTCTCTCTCTCTCTCTCTCTCTCTCTCTCTCTCTCTCTCTCTCTCTCGCTCTCGCTCTCGCTCTCGCTCTCGCTCTCGCTCTCGCTCTCGCTCTCGCTCTCGCTCTCGCTCTCGCTCTCGCTCTCGCTCTCGCTCTCGCTCTCGCTCTCGCTCTCGCTCTCGCTCTCGCTCTCTCTTGCACTGCCTCTGCCCCTGGTTCTGGCTCCGGCTCTGGCTTTTGCTCTGCCTCTGCCTCTGCCCCTCTCTGGTTCTGCCTATGCCTCTGGCCCTCTCTGGCTCTGCCTCTGCTTCTGCCTCTGCCCCTGTCTGGATCTCTGGCTTTCTCGCATGGCCTTGGCGACATGGAGATGGTTGTGTTAACTGGCTCGCACCTGTCTATCGTCCCTGCCTCGTGCCATTCCGTGCCCCCCCCCCCCCCCCCGACCGTTCTCCTCGGCCGGGCGCACCTGGGGCGTGCCGCGTGAACAGTGCGCGCCGCCGGCGGTGCGCGTGTTATCCCAGCTGATCGCCCGGCTGGTGGTGGTAGATGTTGACCCCACGCCGTCGGTCGCAGATGCCGGTGCGCTGCGGTGTGTGTGACCCATTTTGGGAGAGACGGACGCACCGGGACGCGGCGAGTTTCCTTTATCGTGCCCGCTGTCCGACGGTTATGATTAAGGTCAGACGAGTCCGTCTGCTGGTCCGCATCGGTAAGACTGGTGAACGGTATTTCCCATTATTCGTGACGTCGGGGATTCCGTTTGTAATATTTTTACCATGCGCTGACTGGTTGGTGATTTACGGGGCCGTCATTTCCATGTTTTGGCATCCCATCCAGTCGGCAACGGTGGCATTGAAGCGGGAGAGTTATAGACCATGCTGTCACGTGGAATGGGTGCATAGGAACACTGCTGTGTTCCCACTAAGTCGCAGAGGACCCAAGGTTGCAGCAAGGAACGGATTTCCTGCTGCTCCATCACCATTGACGGTCGTGCTGTCAAGCCACTCGACTTGTCCACATTATGTGAGATGGCGAAGCTCGCAGTTAGTGATGCCGCATGAATCACCCAAACACCGCTGTGTTGACTTTCTACACACTTCTGCCCCCAGCGTCGTGAGTGGTTGCCGTTGGTGTCGCATTTCGTACCTTCGCTTATTCGCGTACACGTGCACGTGTTCTTCACCTACACTCGTGGCGGTTGGCGTCGCGGTGGCCACAAAAGCGCGTTGGAGATCCGCGCCGGACCCACGCAGCCGTCAGCGGTGGGCGAGCTGGTCGGCGAGGGTCGGTCCGCGGCGCCCCGCGACCCGTGGCCTTCGGCTGAGTCCGGCCGCGGCCGATGCCCGCTGCCGGCGATCCCCACCGCGGCCGCCGCGCGTCGGCCCGGCGGGACCGGTCGGCCCGGCCGGATGTCGTCACGCCTGTGACGTCACCGAACGGGGACGGCCCGACCAGCGGGGAGAGAGCGCCGAGGGTGCCGTAGCTCTGTCTCATCGACCCGACGGGCGGAGAGAGGGGGTGGCGGGAGCTGGACAGGCGCTGACGCTGCCCGGGGTGATGAGGTGGCTATTTCGGGAGTTAGCTGGCTCATGCAACGGAATTGTCTCTATTTGGGAGTCGGGCATCCGATGGCTTACGGCCAGCTTATGTCATAATTAAAAGATAAGCCGTGGTTTTACCTTCGTATCGCTTAAATGGTTTGTGAGGTCAAATGGCCTGATGAGGAGGCTGCGTTAAAGAGGCACGGGCGCACAGACGGGCTGATGCTGCCAAATGCTTTCTATGTGTGGGGCAGCCATCATTTTAAGTTTTGGGCTATTTTTGAGGTTAGATTTGTTTTTAACTCATTTTGTCCAATGGTTTTGTTAATGCTTTCCATTTGTTTATGCTACAACACAAGCCTAGTTTCACGTTGACAGTGCTGAAATTGTATACAAATTTTGTAAACATGAACCTGGGATTTTTACCAAATTGAATGGATCAACGCAAACTGGCAATGTTGTAATGCATTGCTGCGTATATTCTTCTTCTTGGGAATATTAATGTTTGTGTGCGGCTGTTTTTATTCAGCTTTTCCGGCTTTCATAAACCAGAATTGTGTGACCGCTTTGCTGCTGGACGATATTATGCGCCAGATAGTGCGGAAGATTTGGGCCCAGCCACCGCGACTCGAACCCGGATCCAGAAATGTATGGTCGAAACTAAAAAGGTACATCAGAAGTATGTGACTGCTCGTAACTTCATGCCGACATTATTGCAGACAGCTCTTGCCAGCTTCACTGAAAACGTGTTTGTACAGTATCGCCGAGGCGGTAACGCGTGCGATGTGTCTCACCCGAATATAGATTGCCATCCAATCCCGTTTATCGCCTACTGCTTTTCATTGGTTGGGCGCCATGCGTTCGCCTCCACCGGTGACTTGATGCCGGAACTCAAAAGTTCATTGCGTGTCGGGACTACAGAGGCACATCAGGCCGTGTCCGGTTCCGGCAGGCGCAGGCCGGCGTCGGCGTGTCCATCGTTGCGTGGCTCCCCGCGCTGGCGACCCGTGCCCTCGATCCCAGATAGCAGTGAGGAACAGCTTCGTCACCGTCAGCTGTTCAGGCGGCTTCAGCGGGCGGTTTTCCCACTGCGTTTTTCTTCATGTCGTGCGTTCGTGTTTAACGACAGCAGGAGCTGCGTCGTGGTGTTGCGCTGTTTTGCTTCGCGTTGTTTATTGAAGGAAGCTATGACACATCGTAGCGATCAGAGCTGTTCAGGTTATTGCATTCTGGGGAAGGGGAGTTGTTGTTTCATTCAGATGTGCAGCCATGCAAGAATCGAGTTTGCGTGTTACTCCGGCCGTGCGAATGTTTTCCCACCTACACCGAACGTAGTCGCCTCACAGTCCGCACAGGCACGTGACGTGGGTTTTAATCCCAGCTCCATGAGGTGGACATTCCGATATCATTGGTTCCCTGCCGACTGCGGCGTCCGGCCATGGTGGCCTCTTGGTGGGTGGACTGGATCCTGCCAGCGCCGTCTGGTGGGTGGACTGGACCCTGCCAGCGCCGTCTGGTGGGTGGACTGGACCCTGCCAGCGCCGTCTGGTGGGTGGACTGGGCCCTGCCAGCGCCGTCTGGTGGGTGGACTGGACCCTGCCGGCGCCGTCTGGTGGGTGGACTGCGTCTTGCCAGCGCCGTCTGGTGGGTGGACTGCGTCCTGCCAGCGCCGTCTGTGTTGGCGGTGAGGCCTGCCATCCTGACGTCCGTCTGGGGCCTGCGCCGAGCCCGGCTGGCTGTGGCCGCCGTCAGCGACAGGCGATGAGAGCGCATCGGCCTGCAGATGGACACTCATTCGGGCCCGGGTCGGGTATTGACCTTGCGGCCGGCCAGCGCAGCAGCTGGCGGCGGCGGGCGGCGCGCGCCGGCCGCTGCATCGACCCCGATCGGCGGCCGCGCCGCCCGGCCGGACACTCGGTCGGCGCCGGCCATGGCGACGGCGGCCCTCGTGGGCCCGGAGCCGGTCGGCCGGCCCGCCGCGTCCGAGCGAGTGGCGGCGGCCGCGCCAGCGGCTGCCTGGCCGGGATCGGAGGTGGGCCGCCGCGAGCCGCCGGCCGCGCTGCCGCTGGCGCGCGGCCCGCCGCGGGCCACCTTTAGCGAGGATCTGTCGCCGTCCCCGTTGTCGCCGGCGCCTCCGCTGGCCGCGCTCGACGCTGACGACGGTCTGGAGGAGGTGACGCTGACGTCGCCCTCTCCGCCGCCGCTGTCGCTGGCGGCCGCGCGCCGCCGCCGCCGCCGCCGGCTGGCCGCCCTCTCCCTGGACCACTGCTGCCGCGGCTGGGAGACACTCTGCCGATGGTGGTTCGAGGTAAACCGGCCGGCGCCCTGCCGCCCTCCACCTCGGGAGCGGCCGCTCCTCTGGCGTGCGCTGGGAACCGCGCAGGAGCGTGACGTGCGAAGTGACGCACGGTCTGTGACTACGGCTGTGTACACTTCGCCTCAGCATGCTGAGAGCTTATCCCGTGCAACGCAGCCAGTGCTTGCGGACTGTTGCGGTACAGCACGCCTCGCGATACTCCTCTGAGCTGACAGCTCAGCTGAAACAGCCTCCCTGCTCAGGTGGCGAAGCGTGCCGCGGCCAGTATTCTGAACTATCCAGCTGTCGCGTTGCTATTCCTTTATCGTTTTTATCCGCTGCTAATCTGAACTTTTCTGGTGCTCTGTAATCGGGCAGTGTTGACTCATGGCTCAGCCACCTGCCATGGTCGCACAACGCCGGTTTCGTCAGCCACGTCGTAGCGGATCGGTGAAGTGTAGCCCTGTTTCGCTCCGGCCACTGACCCTGCGGAGATAACCCTGTTGATCTCTGCAGTGCCACGGAGCGTCTGTGCGTGTGTCGCCTCGTGGAGTCTCCCTTAATTTATCTATTTCCTCCCCCCCCCCTTCCGCCGCAAAGTTCCACCTTGTTTGTTTGGCCACCCGCATGGAGTCACCCTTTCTTGATCCGTTATCCCCCACAGTCTCCCATCTCTCATCTCGTCAGTCCCAGAGTCTTCTCCATTTGTTCGGTCCTCCTCGGCCAGTTTCCTTCCGTGTGTGCCGTCCGTGTCATGCGCGCCGGCGCGGTGCAGCCTTCCGCGACCGGCGCCGTCAGCCGGTCCGCTGCTCCCGGTCTGTGCTGCCCTCAGCTCCGGCCGTCCGTCCATGCGGGCCGCTAATGGCGTTTGGCTGTCGTGCCCACCGGAGTGCGGCCTGCCCTGAAACGGCGGGCCGGCATTAGGGTAATGGCGCCGCATTGGCAGCCGGCCCCGCCAGGAAGGAACCGTCGCTGGCGGCCGGACCCGAAACGCAGGGACCTTCCCGGGTGGTTGGACCCGAAGCGCAGGGACCGTCCCAGATGATCGGACGTGGAACCCAGAAATTGTCTTCGGTGAGCGGACCCATGACTCAGGAGCTGTCTCTAGCGTCCAGACCTGCGGCGCAGGCTCGGAGATTGTTGCTGTCTTCAGCCTCGTTCGTGGACCATGACAGAACTTTCTCGTCTATGGACAACTTCCAGCGTTCGGGCGTCTCACAGAAAAACAACTGGCAGTGCGGTGACACCCTTGGTCACGATCTGACCCTGCTGGTCGCACACAAGACAGGGGAATGGTCCCCGGTGACCGGAGCTGGCACGGCTTTGGTGGCCAAACGTGGGACAAAATCAGCCCGGCTGAAGAATCTCCGCGGAGAAAAGAGAAGAATCGTCGCTGACCTGGCCGGGACGGGCGAACCCTGGCGACCGGGTCTGGGACACAGCGACTGGTGACGGAGACCGGGACCAGGACAGCAGAGCTATCTGGCGACCGGGTCTGGGACACAGCGACTGGGGACGGAGACCGGGACCAAGACAGCAGAGCTATCTGGCGACCGGGTCTGGGACACAGCGACTGGTGACGGAGACCGGGACCAGGACAGCAGAGCTATCTGGCGACCGGGTCTGGGACACAGCGACTGGGGACGGAGACCGGGACCAGGACAGCAGAGCTATCTGGCGACCGGGTCTGGGACACAGCGACTGGTGACGGAGACCGGGACCAAGACAGCTGAGTTATCTGGCGGCCGGGTCTGGGACACAGCGACTGGTGACGGAGACCGGGACCAGGACATCAGAGTTATCTGGCGCCGGGTCTGGGACACAGCGACTGGTGACGGAGACCGGGACCAGGACAGCAGAGCTATCTGGCGACCGGGTCTGGGACACAGCGACTGGGTGACGGAACGAGACGGAAGACCGGGACCAAGACAGCTGAGTTATCTGGCGGCCGGGTCTGGGACACAGCGACTGGTGACGGAGACCGGGACCAGGACATCAGAGTTATCTGGCGGCCGGGTCTGGGACACAGCGACTGGTGACGGAGACCGGGACCAAGACAGCAGAGCTATCTGGCGACCGGGTCTGGGGACACAGCGACTGGTGACGGAGACCGGGACCAAGACAGCAGAGCTATCTGGCGACCGGGTATGCGGACACAGCGACTGGTGACGGAGACCGGGACCAGGACAGCAGAGTTATCTGGCGGCCGGGTCTGGGACACAGCGACTGGTGACGGAGACCGGGACCAGGACAGCAGAGCTATCTGGCGACCGGGTCTGGGACACAGCGACTGGTGACGGAGACCGGGACCAAGACAGCAGAGCTATCTGGCGACCGGGTATGGGACACAGCGACTGGTGACGGAGACCGGGACCAGGACAGCAGAGTTATCTGGCGGCCGGGTCTGGGACACAGCGACTGGTGACGGAGACCGGGACCAGGACAGCAGAGCTATCTGGCGACCGGGTATGGGACACAGCGACTGGTGACGGAGACCGGGACCAGGACAGCAGAGCTATCTGGCGACCGGGTCTGGGACACAGCGACTGGTGACGGAGACCGGGACCAGGACAGCAGAGCTATCTGGCGACCGGGCCGGTAACGCGGCAGCCGCCTGTGACGAGGGCTCCGGACGAGGGTGGAGGGTCTGCTGGCACCGGACCAGCACCAGCCGACCACCTCAGGCGCGCCGGGAGGGAGGAGCATCGGCCGTGACCCGCCTTGGGACGGCGAGACAGAGGACACAATGGGACGGCTCTGTGTCTGCTGTTGACGGCGTGCTCTGTCGCGGCAGCTGGCGTGCGGCAGCTCGAACACTTGGCATTCATGCTGGGGTCCATCGGAGAACGGAGCCGCCGTCTCCACTGGGGCGAAGCTGCCTGCTGTTGTGGTGCCGTTGCATCCCGTAGCGTCATCGCGTAGACTCGACCCCCTCAGCAAAATCCGGCGGTCTGTTTTGGCGGACTGGGTGGTGTGCATATTAACGTAGATGGGGCGACAGCGTTCCCCGGACTCAGGGAGTGATGCCAGCCGCGATGCTCCCATGTCCGAGCGCCGTTCGGGCCGCGGCCAGATCGACCGCTGTAAGCGAATCAGTAACCAGGGGCCGTTCCGGCAAACGGCAGCTATATTTGTGTCCCAGGTATCAATAACCGCGCCCGGGACCGAATAACTGTCAGAAGCGTATTGCGCTGGAAGGGCGTGGATTATTGGCCGTCGAACGGTGGGCGCTGCGGATGATTATGACTGCGTTATATCGGCACTTTCTGTCGTAATTATAACCCGTCTGCGAGTGACCGCGCCCGATCGCGCCGCTCCCACTGCTGGCGTATCTTGCATGGTATGTCGCTGGCGCTCATCACTGACGTGTTGCATCAGCCCGGCCGGAGTGCTGATTGACTCCTCGCTTTGTCGCCTGTGCGACCGACCACGGCCGTCGATGGCGGCGAAAGAAACTGTCCTTGCAATGCGAAGCATTCCGAACATGCCTACCACTGACACCCTCCACATAAGAGGCTGGTTGAGTTAATGGGCTGCCCACAGCTGGAGGCACCAATCAATATTTTGTAGATCCACGAATATCCTCAAATGTTCCGCGTGCGCATCCGTTCAGCACATCGTGAAATATGACGCTTGCATCACTTATGTTTGAGATTTGTTTGCAGTGATCACGTGTCTATTGTCCGTCCGCGCGTGTGCCGCCGGTCTCACACGTGTTCGCCTCGGCCGCCAGAGCTCGGGCATCGGGGAGCCGAGCGTCTACCATGCGCTGGTGGTCATCTTCCTCGAGTTCTTCGCCTGGGGTCTTCTGACCACACCGATGATCACGGTACGCCGCCGGTGTGGAGGAAGTCCTTGGGTGGCGGGCTGAGGAGGGGCTGCGGAAGCTGTCGGCCGGACAGGGACGGACCGGAAGGGTGGACTGGGACGGTGGGGTGAGGGCACCAAAGGTCGCGGGCTGGTCACGGACCTTTGGTCGTGGGACGTGTCAGTTCGTGATGGCAACCAGACAGTCGACTTGTGGGATAAGATTAGAAATGTTCCGCTTTCGCCAAAACTCGGGCTCCATAAACGATCGCGAGTTTGTCTCGCGGTGTGACTATAAATGGACGCGCCTGATAACGAAGGGAGTCATTACCGCTGGTTAGCATGCCACGTGTCGCGTAGGTTCGAAGCGCCCGTGGCATAGCTGGGCCGAATAGGACGCCCGGTGGGCGTGTTCTGTGCCACCCGGTGCTGGGCGGCGCGTGCCGTGACTGCTTGAGGTCGGTTTGGCGCGCCCGAGCCACCGGGATGGTGAGGCGCAGGACTCAGGGCCACACCGATCAGCTACGGCCCCAGAGTCTGGGCCACGCAGACCAGCTGCGGCCCTGGAGTCGATCGTGTGTTGATACCTCACGGAAACATCTGCACAGCTGTCTCGGCGTCTGGAATCACGTTAGCGTTGCGGTCTGCCCTCGCCAAAGTCGCGGTTACCTGTCTGCATTGATGATTTCTATGACAGCTGGGAAGGATGACGTAGCGACAAGCTTGTCTGGGCCACATAGTCGTTTATTGCACGAACGCAGACGTCACGTGTATGTGATTGCCTGGCACTGCGCCGGTGGTCCGCCCTGCACGCGCCGTACTCCGTGCCAGCGGCCGTCATGCACCGGTGGGGCGGCGCTCGCGTTTGGCACTGCTCTGACGGGTCGCCTCCTGTTCCAGGTGCTTAATGAAACATTTCCGAACCACACATTTCTCATGAATGGCCTTATTGTAGGAATAAAGGTGAGTCGATGTGCTTTTCCCCATTTTTCCCCTGGAGATAGATATCATGGGGGCACCCACTCGCACTAGCAAACGCTGAGGCGGCTGTTGTCCATGTCCTAGTGGCCTGGCTGCTACACTATGGCGTGTATCTTCAGGCGCAGCGTGCCGTTCCCTCATCGCTCAGTCCGGTGTGAGCGGGGCCTTGTGGCGTTGGCCCACGTGTCGTGCCCTCATCGTCCGGTCCGGTGTGAACTCTTGGCGTTGGCGCACGTGCCGTCTCCTCATCGCCCGGTCCGGTGTGAGCGGGGCCCCGCGGCGTTGGCGCACGTGTCGTCCCCTCATCGCCCGGTCCGGTGTGAGCGGGGGCTCTTGGCGTTGGCGCACGTGCCGTCTCCTCATCGCTCGGTCCGGTGTGAGCTGGGCCCCGTGGCGTTGGCGCACGTGCCGTCTCTTCTTCACCCGGTCCAGTGTGAGCGGGGCCCCGCGGCGCTCGCGCACGTGCCGTCCCTCATCGCCCTGTCCGGTATGTGAGGCGGGGCCCCCGCGGGCGTTGGCGCACGTGTCGTGCCCCTCATCCGCGCTTGCCGTTCGTGTGTTGAGCGGGGGCTCTCTTGGCGTTGGGCACGCCACGTGCGCCTTCCCTCATCGCCCTGTCCGGTGTGAGCGGGGCCCCGCGGTGTTGGCGCACGTGCCGTCCCTCATCGCCCTGTCCGGTGTGAGCGGGGCGCCGTGGCGTTGGCGCACGTGCCGTCCCTCATCGCCCGGTCCGGTGTGAGCGGGGCCCCGCGGCGTTGGCGCACGTGCCGTACCGACGAGGTGCAGTGGAATGATGAATGGCATTATGTCGTGACGCGCGCACCTGTTGATGCCCTACAGGGTGGCCCGTGTCAACTGCAAGCTGAAGGGCCCCTGCTGTGCCCGGCCGGCAGCCGATGTGCCGTCAGGGGGGGGGGGGGGGGGGCTGCTTGGTGCGTTCCGACTCCACCGGCTCGCCTCTTGCTCCGACGATTCGCACGCCTGCTACGCCGGCGCTGTTTTGGATTCCAAAATGTTGAAATTAAGCACACAAGCACAGCGCCATGACACGCCATGGCGATTTAGCTGGGTTTTAAATTTGATGTACCATCATTCGGATTTTTGTGCGGTGTGTGCTACGTATTTTCCCTGACCCCGCTACCACGCTTCACCGTGATCTTCATTTGTTTTGTATTGTTCTCTGATCATGGTCGTGCTCAGTGTACCGGCTCGTTTTGTCACGTGTGGCCCCCGACCTTGACCTGCATACGCCCCAGATCGGCCGGGATGTCCCCGTGACCCATTTGCGGTGTGCCAAACGAGGCCGTGTCGCCTGCGTGTGGCGCCGTTTCTGTCGGGCTGGGCGGCGGCCTCCCCCGCCGGCGGCAGTGGGCTCGTCCGTGCGTGCCCCGGGCGCCGTCCGCCGGGGCTCCGACACGCGCCGCAGGCCATCGATTGCGACTCTCCGCGGCCGCCGCCCAAGGCCGCCCCAGCGCCGCCGCCGCCGCTGCCGCCGCTGCCGGCCGGGCCGCGTGGGCCCGTGAATGCCGTGAGGTGACCGGCGGCCGGCTGCGCAGTGTCACGGCCTCGAGGCGCGACACCGCGCCGACTGCATGGCCGGGTGGTGTCGTGCGGTGGCGCCGGACGTGCAAACACGGGCACGTGGCGCGGCCGGGCGGAAGCTGCCGAGCGCGAGACAAGGGAGCCGGCTGGTCAGGAGGCACGGCGCCGCCGGCTGGACACGCGAGCGAGCTGCCGCAGGGCATGGGACACGCGCCGGGACGCGTTCCATTCGTTATGCTGGGCCTGGCCGGCGGAGGCGTTGGTGGCGGCGCCGGGACATGGCCTAACCGCAGGGCTTGCTGCTGCCCGCCCGTCCGCCGCCGCCGCCGGAGATGGATGACGTATGTTCCACAGATCGATCGCAGGTGGGCTGCTGCGTAATTTGGGGCCCGATTTGATGTCCGGGTGGCATGCGACATGTTCGCGGAAGCGGAGGCACCCTGCCATGCTGTCCGAACGAAGCGAAGTTTTCTACATTGTTCTCAGCTGTTTGATCGAGACGTGGGCCTTTTGGGGGTCGCCTGGTGTCCCTTCTGCGCCAGCTTGGGCTTCGAACATGCGGCCTGCGACGGCGTCTACGCATTTGTTTCTCTGCCCGTCACCGTGTCTGTTCATACAGCGGACGGAACCCTGGTGTACGTGCCGTTCTCGTGTGTCGGGTCGCGACCCTTGCTGGCGCGAGTGCGGTGTCCGGTCCCCGCCGCCCCCGCTTCTTTTGCGGGTCTTCTTGTGCCGCTGTTGGATCAGCTGCTGCTCCTTTGTCACGTCTCTCTGTGTCGTCGTTGTGGGTTGAGCTGTCGTTTCTTGTTTGCGTCTTCCCGCGTCGCCACTGCCGGGTCGGCCGTTGTTCCTTGGTTCGGCCTCCCCGTACCGCCCGGGCCTGGCATGTTGTTTACTCGCCACGCCTCCCTGTGCTACTGTTGCAGCGTCAGCTGTTCTTCCCTTGTCATGTCGGCTCCTGCCGCCATTGTGGGGCCAGCTGCTGCCTTTGTGTTTTGCTACTCCCTCCCCTCCCCCTGTGTTCCTGTTGGAGGGTCTGCTAACGTTCCTATCGCCAGGTCTCCCATACAGCCGCTGTTTGAGAGTCTGCCGTTGTCCCCTCACCGTGTCGCCCATGCGTCCGTTGCAGGGTCTGCTGTCGTTCCTATCGGCTCCGCTGCTAGGGGCGCTCAGCGACGTCTGGGGCCGCAAGGTGTTCCTGCTGGTCACGGTGTTCTTCACCTGCGCGCCCATTCCGCTGATGCGGCTCAACACATGGTCAGTGGGCTCAGCATCTCGCCGCCGGGCTCGCACACGGTCGTATATCTTTCGCCGAAGGTTATGTAGGTCTGCACAATCCGTAACTGGGCTCTGCAACTGAACACTTGCGGACTGACCTGTAGTCCTTTTATTCAAATTATCTGGAGCTGGGCTGCACTGTCGCGTCACCCGCAGGTGTGGCCGCTCTCCCTCAAATATCGTGGCTGCTCCATGAACCTGGCGCATTCTCAGTGTCGCCGTGGCCTTGCGTGCGCCGGCCGTTCGGGGTGTGACGGCACAGCGGGCGGCGCGCTGATGAGCCCCCCCCCCCCCCTGATCGTTGACCCGGTGCCTGTGTTGCAGGTGGTACTTCGCCACCATCAGTATATCTGGCGTGTTCGCCGTCACCTTCTCGGTGGTGTTCGCCTACGTGGCGGACGTGACGGAGGAGGCGGAGCGTTCGGCCGCCTACGGCCTGGTACGTTCGCCGCTGCTCGGGTGCCGCCGCCCCCGCCGCCGCCGCGTGGGCGTCGCCGCCCCCGCTGCCGCTGCTCGGGCGCCGTCGCTCGGGCGCCGCCGCCCCCGCCGCCGTTGCTCGGGCGCCGTCCGCCGATCGCTATGACAGACGCCCGCCTCTGGTGAACTGCTGTCGGGCGTGGACGCCTCGCTGGTGGCGCCGTCGCAGGCCCGAGCAGTAGTCGACTGTCCTCCAAGCCGCTATCGGTTGTGCTCCGCGGTCCCGTCCAGGCGCCACCGAGCGCGGGCCGCGCCGCGCTCGGGGTCTCGGGTCAATATGGGACGGCCGGCGAGCGCGGGCCTCTGCTGGGTCCCCCGTGACCACAGGTCGATGCCCGTCGGCCGGGGGCTCTCCGATCGGCCCAGTTTAGGGCGGTGATTCGACACTCGAGCGGCGCCGCGGTTACGAGGCGGGGCGGCGCGCCGGCCGCTCGAGCGGCCGTTAAACCGCGCCACGCCGAGCCTTTGGCGGCGGGCCGTTGATGAGCCGGCCGGCCGCCGTCCGGCTCTGCTGTCGTCGCCAGCTGCGCCCGCGCCTCGTGGCGTCCGGTGACTGGGTCAACACCGCTGTGGACTGACGGCGCCGTCGGCGGCAGCGGCCGCTCCGCCGCGGACCGAGCGGCGGACTACCCCCCGTCGCTGCGCGCCCGATTGGCGGGCGCCCTGGAGCGAGGCTCTGGTGACGACAGCTGACGACCGGCGCTCTCCGGCGCCGATGCGAGGCTCAGTGCCCTCTGAACGGCTGTCGGTGCGCTCCGCCGCCGTATCGACGGGGCGCCGGACTGTCGCTAACGGCGGTCGGCGACGCGTCGCTGTTGCTGCCCGCGATATCCCGGGGGTTGGTGGGGAGCCACGACCTGGCTCCCGCGGGGCCGGCGGAGCGCCGCTGACATCCGCCGTCGACGCCCGGCTCCCGGCGGACCGGACAGCGGGCTCGGCGGGCGGCGGGGCTGGCCAGCGCCGGTCGGTGGCTCCACGACCACCACCAGCCGGGCTGCGGGTTCGAAACGGCAAGCGGCTTTGGAAACGTTGCCGACTTCGATAGCCCGTACTGTTTTGATTCCAATGGTGTAACATCGGTCTGTGCTTAGTGTGCGATACCAGGAATGTGGCCTGTGTAAAATGTATGGAGGGCCCTGAGTTTTGTATCGGTACTGGCGTGTTACCGATTGAATGTAGCAGGCCGGCTGAGTGCCCGGATCCTGTTCGGTTGTTTAATGCATGGCAGCAGCCGCCGTGTTCCTGATTGCCGAACTCTTGAAAGATTACTCATCTGTGCTTTTTTCCACACAAGTTTGGTTCTAGCTTCGCGGAACCAGCAGTGCCGATCGCCATGCTTGGTGTTTCACCATACTTGGCTTTACATCATGTTTCGGAAATCGTGCACTGCTCCGAAGATTGCCAGCATTTATGCGGATACTGATTATTTCACGCGGATACATCTGTTGATTGCTTTCACCGTGTGCGCGTCTATTTCTGGTCGAGCGCGTTTGAAGTGAGGATCTGGCGCAGTGACCTCCCTATGTGTCGGCCGGCGGCCGGGTTCGCTGAATCTGACATCACGCTTCTCCGCCGGCCAGGTGTCCGCCACGTTCGCCGCCAGCCTGGTGACATCGCCGGCGCTGGGCGCCTACCTGGCGCAGGTGTACGACGAGAACATGGTGATCGCGCTGAGCACAGCCATCGCCGTGCTTGACGTGCTCTTCATACTGGTGGCCGTGCCGGAGTCGCTGCCCGAGAAGCTGCGCCCCAACAGCTGGGACAAAACTATCACCTGGGAGCAGGCGGACCCGTTCGCGGTGAGTGAGCTCGGCCGCACTGGTGTGAGTGTGCGGCGGCGGATGTTCCCCGCGGCGGGCGCGGGACTGTGGCCTTCAACGTGGATTGACTCGGATCACAGCTTCCTGGCGGGACCGTGTGTGTCGTCAGCTATCGATTCCTGGGAGGTGGGGCGTGAGCGGCGCGCGGCCGCGTAGGCCTGTCGCTGGCGGCGGTGCCGCTTGCGCGAGTTAGGCTCCGCTAAGCCGCTCTCGGCTGTCAGGCCCTGGCGACGCGTCTACCTCCCGCCGCTCCCGGCTGTCCGGTCTCGGCGCCGCGTCTACCTCCCGTCGCTCCCGGCTGTCAGGCTTCGGCCGGCGCCGCATCTACTTCCCGCCGCTCCCGGCTGTCTGACCTCGGCGCCGCGTCTACCTCCCGCCGCTCCCGACTGTCCGGCCTCGGCGCGGCGTCTACCTCCCGCCGCTCCCGGCTGTCCGGTCTCGGCGCGGCGTCTACATCCCGTCGCTCCCGGCTGTCAGACCTCTGCGCCGCGTCTACCTCCCGCCGCTCCCGGCTGTCCGGCCTCGGCGCTGCGTCTACCTCCCGCCGCTCCCGGCTGTCCGGCCTCGGCGCTGCGTCTACCTCCCGCCGCTCCCGGCTGTCCGGCCTCTGCGCCGCGTCTACCTCCCGCCGCTCCCGGCTGTCCGGCCTCGGCGCTGCGTCTACCTCCCGCCGCTCCCGGCTGTCCGGCCTCGGCGCTGCGTCTACCTCCCGCCGCTCCCGGCTGTCCGGTCTCGGCGCCGCGTCTACATCCCGTCGCTCCCGGCTGTCAGACCTCTGCGTCGCGTCTACCTCCCGCCGCTCCCGGCTGTCCGGCCTCGGCGCTGCGTCTACCTCCCGCCGCTCCCGGCTGTCAGACCTCTGCGTCGCGTCTACCTCTCGCCGCTCCCGGCTGTCCGGTCTCGGCGCCGCATCTACCGCGGGCCTCGTCTACCTCCCACCGCTCGTCTGGTGCGCCGGGTCTGCCGCGCTTCTCTGCTGGACAGCGGCCGGCGGCATCGGCGTCGGCGTCGGCGCTCCCGCGACACCCCGACGCACGGGAAATGAGTGGCTGGTATATCTGAAGCGGATGGTGACGCACACCCACTCAGCGGAGTAAGCGCCTCCCTGCGCCACAGTGGACGGCGCGCCACGCAGCCGCTCGCGACGCTGAGTCATGGCGCTTCCGGACGCCGGTAGCCGCGGGGACGTGGCGAGCGGACGACACGGAATGTGTAGCATGCCAGTTTGGGGTGCTGCGGTGCGTGTATGCTGATATGTGGATACGATTTTGCGCGTGCCTTGATGTCACGATGTCGTGCAGCGCGCTCGCCGAAACGTAGGAGGCGCCTCTCCTTGAAGCTGGAATGGGGCAGACTGGTCGACCGATTTCTGTCGAGTCTCCTGGGTTCGGTTAAGAGTATCAGTGGGTGACGCGCAGAAGGGTGATGTGGCATCACTGATGCGGGAAGGTGCGGAGTTGCCTGTTTGGTCCGCACATACCTCGCTCTCACTGCGGCACGCGTTGTTCCCGCAATTCGGTCATGTGCTCCCGTCTTTCTGGATCCGCCGTCCAGAACACTCCTCTTCTCCGTCGCCTACTTTGCGGACCAAGTCAGTCATGTGCCAGCTACGCTGTTCTCCCTAATGTACGTCCAGCGCCGCGGTCGGCCATGCCGTCTCTATATGGACGTCCGGTATCCGTCCCACTGGCCTTCGCGGTACTGCCACGCCATCGGTGGCACCACCTCGCCCGTCCCGCACGTCCGTCGCTCCACCTTGCTCCCGTCCATCACCGTGGCGTCTCCAGCCAGTGGGATCCACCGGCCGTCCCCATCGCCGTGCTGAGGTCTGTGCTGGTTGTTCAGTGGCGTCAGTGGCCCACCCTGCCGTCCGCCACACTCTACCGTGCTCTCCGTGTCGTCCGCACCCGCACCCTGGTGGACCGCGGTCCGGCGGGCTCCGCGCTCGGCGTCCACGGCGATGTCGCTGCGGCTGCTGCAGCTGCCAGCTGATGGATGTTGGGGTAGGGGGATGGGATGCTCACGACGCAGTAGTGTTCCGACACACGGTCGCTGGCGACGTGTCGCCTTTGACATGTTTGCTCGGCTGCCGTGCGTTTTTCGTCGTTGTGTGTTCCCATAATGTAACTTTTCTAGTGTTCAGCGCGCGCGACATCCGACCGCCTGTGCCCATTGAACCATTGAACTGATCGTGTGAGCACGGTACTCTTCGGGCGGCCGTGCAATTTGCGAACGGCATCCGCTGGGTTGCTCCAATATGGCGCCGCTCTCAGCCCGACAGGCGCGGCGCGGGCAGCGGAGCGTGGCCTCCCGGGGCGGTGCGTCACACTCGCACCATTATTGTCTCTGCCTGACGGGACCAGTAATTGTCAGCCGTCGCCGGCGCCGGCTGCCCTGTTCCCCCCTGAGTGGGTCAATCACTGTCTGCCGCTGTCCGTTGCGGGGTGCCCCGCATTGTGTCTCCGCGGGACGGGTAATATTGGTACTCTGGCCGCCGTCCAGTGCAGCGGCGATGCGTGGGGGGGGGGGGGGGGGGCGGCGCGGCCAGGACGGCGGCTGACGGGCTTCCGTGTATCCGACGCTGACAGGCCGCCCGCTGCCGAGCCGCGCGTTCCCCGCGTCGGCGAGAGACGGACGGCCGCCGGTCATGGCTCGCCTGGGCGTGACTGGCGCCGACTCGGTGGACGGCGCTGCGGTCCGTCTGGCGGGGGGGGGGGGGACTAGGTCTGTCTGTGGGGGCTGGGGTCCGCTGTTTGGGCTGCGGTCCGTCTGTGAGGCTGGGTCCGTTTGCGGGGCTGGGTCCGTCTGCGGGACTGGGATGTGTGTGTGTGGAGGAAGGGAGGTTTGGCGTTTGTCGGTGGAGCTGGGGTCCGCCTGATGGGGGTGGAGCCCGGCCGACAGTCTGCGGTGTCTTGCCCGGCCAGCGCTGCCGCTCCGGTCGCTCACGCCCAGCTGTGTCTGTGTGCCGGCAGGCTCTGAAGAAGATTGGCAAGGACCGCACAGTGCTGCTGCTCTGCCTGGCCGTGTTCCTCTCCTACCTGCCCGAGGCAGGACAGTACTCCTGCTTCTTCGTCTACCTCCGCCTGGTGAGTGGCCGGCCGTGGTGCCAGGCGCGTCCGGAGTGTACTGGTGCCCCGTGGAGCGCGAGCGGTGCCAACGGACCACACTGACCCTACGGCGGAGCCGTCTGGACGCTCGCCGCTGTCGGGGGAGGGGAGGGGGAGGGCGTAATTCGCCCACTGACTCCGCTTTCCGTGTCGCCGACCGTTTCGGTTAGCGCGCGGTGGAAGCCCCCGTTTCTGGCCGCCTTCTGACACCACGCGATGATCGTCTGGCCGTGTCGCCGAGCTTCGCACCAATGTGTGACGTCAGCCGCCGCCGGCGTTGCCTCGGTGACGTCACGCGGCGGCGGCGTGGGCCGGCTGCTGCGCGGCAGGCCCTGCTGGCGCTCGGCGACGGCGGCGGCCGGTGCCCCGACGAGCGGGCTGCTGGCCCTGCTGGCGCTCCGGTCTGTGCAGGGGGATGGTGTCACACCGGGAGTGCCGCGCCCTCGCGTGCTAACAAGGCCCGCTCAAACGCTGCTGTCCGATGGGAGAGCTGATTTATGATGTGTCGTTAGTGGGCCCCTGTCGCCCCGGCCGTCGCCAGGTGATTTAGCTGGGCCGTGTCACCCGGCCGGCCCCCAAGCGCCACCTATCGGCGATCGTGCACATGGAGTTGGGTGGGCTTGGCTTGACGTGGCGCCGCTGTTTGGTCGCCAGGTGATGAAGTTCAGTCAGGAGGCGGTGGCTATGTTCATCGCCACGGTCGGCATCCTGTCGGTGATCGCGCAGACGGCCGTGCTCAGCTTCCTGATGCGCACCATCGGCGCCAAGCATACCATCATGGTCGGCCTGGTGTTCGAGATGCTGGAGCTCATGTGGTGAGTGTGCGGACCCTCGGACGTCGAGCTCGGCCGACCGGGATTGGACTCGTGGCGGCTCCAGCGGTGACGGCTGCTGGTGGGCGGCCGGCTGACTGGGCTCGCCGGCGCCGGGGTCGTGTCGCGTGCTGGCCCCAGTGTCCCAGTGCCAACCGCAGAGTGTGTTCGGCTGCAGCGCGCAGGGTGTGCGGCCGGCGTCGGATGGGCGCAGATGTCATCTGCCTCCCCCACCCCCACCCCCACCTGTGACGCAGAGGCCCGGACGGCGGAGCGGCGCCGCCGGAAGCCGTCAGCGTGCCTGGCCTGCCCATCCACCGGCTTTTTCCTAGCGGTCCGCCTGCTAATGAGGTCCGCCATGAATAGACGCTCCTTCCGAATGCGAATGATTAAACGTGGCGGTTGAAAAAGCCCGCTGATGAGCATATTGGTCTGCTGCGCCGTCCAGACGGGCTGGGCCGCAAACGGGCGAGCCAGATCGGACCGGGGCGAACCGGATCGGGTCGGGCTGGGCCCCACGCGTCGTCGGCGTGAGGCCGGTACGGCTTCGGCTGGCGGACGTGATACGCCTCAGGGCCGCGTTGTTCACGTGTTGCCCGCGCGTTGCAGGTACGGCTTCGGATCGCAGACGTGGATGATGTGGGCGGCCGGAGCGCTGGCGGCCATGGCCAGCATATCGTACCCGGCCATCTCGGCCTTCGTGTCTATGCACGCTGACGCGGACAAGCAGGGTGAGTGTGGCCGGCCGAGGGCGCCGCGGCGTCGCGCGCCGGCCCAGTCCCGGCTCAGTGCTCCCAGCGCAAAGCCTGAGATCGCTCAGAGACGTGGCTGTTTAGGGGTGTCCAGTGGTTGGTGCGCACTGGTTGGTCGGCTCTGCCGCCGGCTACTCTCCGTCGGCTGCGTGGTCTCGGCGTCAGCAGCGCGCGGGCGGATTCCACCCAGCCGACTGAGGCGGTGCGCGCCCTCCGCCGCAGGCGTCGTCCAGGGCGTCATCACCGGCATGCGCGGACTCTGCAACGGACTCGGCCCGGCGCTGTACGGCTTCATCTTCTACCTGTTCCACGTGGACCTGGAGGACGAGGCCAAGCTGCAGGCGGGCGGCGAGGTTCGCGCCGCTAACGCAACCCGGCAGCACCCGGGCATGCCCGAGGTAGGCGGCGCCGGCCCGGTGCAGCGGCCGGCGCGCTGGAGATGGGCGGCGGCGTGGGAGACCGCGGGGTTCTGTTTGGTTTGCTGCTGTGAGGTGTGCTGTTTGAGCACGCGCTTGAAGTCACCGTGCGACGTACTTTGCCGCTGACCTTTAAGGTCGATTTCACAGTTGTCGAACGTGCTGGTCATGATTTGCAATACACACCCGCTGGCGAGATCTTTGCGTTCATTCGGAGTCATAGACAAGACAGTAGTGCTAGCCTTATTCCTCGGAGAATAACTAGGAGAATGGAGGTATAGTTGGGTTGATATTTCGCTAAAATGCCTTTATCTAAACAATAGCAGAAGTGACTTCTGCTATTTAGTGTATTCCGCAAGAGCAGACTTCTGCTATTGCGTCGATAAAGGCATGTTGCCGAGATATCAATCTAACTATATATCCATTATCCTGGTTTTTCTCCGAGGAAGAAGGCTATTACTACTGTCTTATCTATGTGAATGATGTTCCTCGCTAATGCACTAAACAACGTACTTAATTGATTTGAAGTCGTCACGATGTCACGAGGAACATGCGTTATAACCGCACCGCAGTGTGGTGTAGCGTTATATCCCAGCAGCGAAACGGTTCTGACACGTTCTAGCCCGCCCCTGACCCGCGAATCACGCGGGACCGGATCGGATGAGCGTGGCCTGGGCCAGGACCCGTGCGCTGTCCTCCGCCGTGGCTCATTCGGGCCCTGGCTGGAGGCGGTACGCGGGCGGGCCGGCGGTGACGGACGCGCCGTTTCAGCTGGTGCCGGGTCCGCCGTTCGTGTTCGGCGCGCTGTTGGTGATCTGCGCCCTGCTGGTGGCCGCCTTCATCCCCGAGGCGCCCACGGGCGGCGCCTCGTCGCTGCGCGGCGCCGTCCGCAAGTCCTCAGGTACGCCGGTCGCGGAGTGCTGACGGGTCTCCGGTACACCTGGACCCGGAACGGTAGCCCGGGCGGGCCGGCCGATTACCCGGTCTGACATTATCCAGCCGCACGCACGTGACCCCCCCCCCCCCCGAGCTGGCTGCCGGGCGGCGTGCAGGTACGGGAACAAAGCTCGGTCGATGCCCCCCGATGTGACGAGCAGACTAATGGAGCCGCATGATTATCCCACGTGTATCGGGTAGGCTGACGACGTCCGTGAGTTATTTGGCGCCCGTCCTGCGTCTGGCAGTTGAAGTCCCATTCGTTACTTAAGTGAGCTCTTGCGGCCTGGGGCATAGCTACCTGCCTCACCTCTGACGTTTCGTCCGACGCCCACTCCTTTCCTGGTTAGGGGACGCGGTAATTGCTCTAAGTTGTGTGCAGTAGCGTAGCAACGCCTAACAGCGACCATTGTGTGTTGACGGTCGTGAGGGCTCGATGAATTGGGGGCTCTCGATTTCAGGTTATTTGGATGGCGTGATTAGTGTCGGCGTTTTCCTTTACAAACAGCTTGCCAATGCTGATGGAAGTAATGATGGTCGGTCGTGCGGTTGTTGCGCTTGATTGGCTCCGTGCGCCAATCAGGGCGCTCGCCCCGCTGTTTTAGCGTGCCGGAAATGAGGCGCCCCGCGGTAAGGCGGCCGCGGTCTGCCCGTGTAGCCTCGCACGTGAACAAACCGGGACAGGCGTGGCGAAGTCCGTTGTCAGTGTGAGTGCGAGCGGGGAGATAACTTTGAAGTCCAGAAGGTGTAGCGGGCCAATTATTAATTTCAGTTAAATTTGGTCGGTGGGTATTGGAAGCAATCTGGAATTTTTGCTGGAATTCAAGCTGGAATCAAGCAAGCATTTTGGAAGCAAGCTGCCTGGTTACCCTGTTGTGCCAGTCTGGGCTGAAGCCGATACAAAAGACTACCGTTGGCCGCCTTCCTTATTTGGTCTTCCCGCTCAGTTTTAGGCGTGGCGCGCTTGCCTGAGTTCATAGGCGGGACGCCAGTGGTGTCATTTTTGCCTTGAAGAACGGAGAGCTAGTTTGACACGTTTAGAGTCACTGAATTCTCGGCCAGGGTGCCTGTGCGCTGTGTCTGTGCGCAGATCTGTGGACCTGGGCTGCCTGGTCAGCTGCCGTGACTGCCCCGGGGCTGGCTCCTGCCGCCGCTCCCTGCGCGTCGGGATGGTCGCGGCGTTGGTGCCCAGCCGCCCCGCGTTCCCAGCCGCTCGCGGTCTGTGGCGGCCCCACCCTGACGAGGCGCCTCCCTCCTGCAGGCAACTCCAACGAGCTGCACTACGAGTTCGGGCACAAGAAGAAGGACAGTCTGGACGGTGAGGCGGCGCAGCTCGAGGTGGAGACTTTGTAGCCGGCGCGGCCGCGGCGGCCACATTCCGCGCGCGTGGGCGCTTCCCTTGCGTGCGCCAGTGCTCGCGAGTGTGCGAGTCTGTGTGTGCGTGTGCGTGTGTCGCTGTGCGCCTGTGCACCCGCAGTGGGACCGCGGTCCGGACGGCGGACCGTCCGGCCAGCTGACGGCGCACAGCCCGGCGGCTGTGAGGCGGGCCGGGCCGCGCGCCGGTCCCCCCCCCCCCCCCCCGATCTGTGTTGTTGCTTGCAATCTCGTGAACGTTTATTTCACATGCGTTGTTTGGTGGGGACAGTGCTGTTTTTCATAAAAATAAAATGTGTCCAAACGTGTCGGCGTGTTTGGCTGTCGTACGACGGAGGCTGACTGGCAGTACCGGTCTGCCGGCCGGCGCTCGTTCTCCCGGGACACTGCAGGAGGGAGGCGCGTCTGCGGCTGGTGGGAGCGCCGTCTGCGCCTGTACTCCAGGGTTGCGTGCGCAGCCAGACCATGGACCTGATGGCATCGCGGTGATTGGTGGCGTCTCGGGGATTAGTTGCATAGTGCATCTGTTCAAAAGCATCACGCGAAAAAAGCAAACGACGAAAGTGTTTTAAGATCTTGGTAAGTTTTGCCCCGTAACATTCGCGCATTTCACAGCAGAGAATCTATGCTTCCTAGTTTGCGTACCCGTGGTGGAATGGACTTACACTAGTATGAGATAAAATATATTTCAATGGATGCACTGCTTCTTCGGAAACATGTGTTGCAAACCGTCAGCCACAACGCAAAGATGCACGTGCCAGGCCTTCCTTCGCCCATTCGCCCATCCACATGCTTGTACGTGTTTGCCTCCGCTTCATGCGATACTTCTTTCAAAGGCGTCCTCCTGGATGGCTGTCACCATTGTCATAAGGAAACAGCTGTGGCATTCCCCGTGCTCGCCGCGGTCTATTCATAAGCTCGACGTATCCCTCGAGAACAGGAAGCCCCTGCCGGCTAGACACCGCCCCAGTCCCGCCATACGAGCGTGCCGCGGGACTGGGACCGTCCCGTCATTGGGAGCCTCTGCGAGAGGAGAGGATCGGCTGGTCGGCTGAGCAGGTGTACTGGTCAGGCTGGATGTTGCCGCACTCTGGAACGGTCCTCGGGTCAGGCACACTGACAGCGCCGTGTCTCTGATCGTGCCACTCGTTTCCTGTTCGACACCTGTTTGAAGTGTTGAGCAGTTTTCTGTTTGCACCGTGTTGTTTCTCGTTTGCCATTTGTGCTTTAGTTTTCGAAAGATTTAATCCGACCTATTCGAACGGATCCATTTCTGGGGCCGGAGCTCACGTTTCGCTTGTAATGCAGCTGTAGCGTTACACGACACACTCACGCTTGTTGAGTGAACCCTGACCCCTACCATCCGATCGTTAACTACCAGGTTAACGGCAGACTGGTGGCAAAAGTTTAACGTATAGCGATGCTCAGCACGGTTCGTTCTGCTCTCTGACGTCACCTGACCTTTATCACAGCGCTGCCACCGGCTACACGTCTTGCCTGTCAAACACAAATATCGAGTGTCTGAAGCGTCTGGAGCCCACCTCGCCGCGGCTAGGTGGATTGAGGTGCAAATGCTCTGACCAACTGTGTTATTGGGACGAGCATTCCATCGCAATAGATTTTGTCTGACGCCTTTTACGCGAGCTGTTTCCGTTTGACCGGGTGCGTACTCGGTTAAGCATGCTTTGCCCATTGCACAAAGCACGTAAGAAGGCGTGGTCTCGTCAATACGCACGTATGCTCGAGTCGCACGAGTGATTGGCACCGATGGACTCGCCTTTTTCACCGGCTAACTTGTCAGTTTGATTCGCTGAAGCTTTTGGTGCCGATCAATACAGTTGTCAACACATTGACATTGTCAACAATCTTTGAAACCTGAAGTCAAACGATTGAAAATTCCGTTAGTTTTTCCTGGACCAAAGACATTTGGACGTCACCTGTCGGCGTTGACATTTTTTCCAGCTGCTAAATCTTACAACAATCAACAACACCACCGAAGTGTCTCCCCTATTTCTTGGTGCCGAGTCGACTCGCCAAATGATACATATGTCAGACACGATTCCGCACGAAATTGCTATGTTCTACAGTGGCTCGAAGTCGGCGCCAGTTAAAATTCCCTGCCTGCTGAGACGGGCGGCTCCATCATTTACAGGCGATCTATGGCAGGTCCAATATCTTGCCTCGATTGATATGCAGGAGTGCCGCCAATGTCGGCAGCACTGGACCAGGGCAGCGTCACCACTACCGGCAGCACTGAACTGGGGCAGTGTCGTCACTGCCAGCAGCACTGAACCGGGGCAGTGTCGCCACCACCGACAGCGCTGAACCGGGGCAGTGTCGCCACTACTGGCAGCACTGAACCCGGGCAGTGTCGCCACCACCGGCAGCACTGAACCAGGACAGTGTCGCCACTACCGGCAGCACTGCACCGGGGCAGTGCCGCCACTACCGGCGGCACTGAACCGGGGCAGTGTCGCCGCTGCCAGCAGCACTGAACACCGGCGGTATCGGCACTGCCGGAGGCAATGGACCGGGGCAGTGTCGCCACTGTAGATGTTGCATCGGACCGAGGTTTTGTCACTTTCCGCCCTGACCTCTGTGAGACCGTGACGTAAACTGGGAACTACCGAGCGTTCAGGCTTTTGAGGACAGGAAACAATTCATGGCATATCGGCAAAGGGTGGGGAGAATTAGTGCGGCTTACATCATGTCCGGCATGTCGTCATGGTCGACATGGCATGGCCGTCATGGCATGGTCGTCAGCCACAACGTGTCGTCACGCGGTCGCGGGACACAGTAAGAAACCGTCTTTCGTGTCAGATGCATCAACTAGCAGTCACGATGTGCCACGTGCACCAGTTGTCCGTCAACACTTGTGTGGCAGGCGCATCTGCTGTTTGTTGCGGTTTCTCGCGTAAGATGTCGGCTGTCTACCGGGGGGTGTCGGGCACATCTGTTGTCTCATAGTTTGTGATGTACGCCTGTTGTCGGTCGCAATTGTTAGATAGTGCACCCAACCGTATTGGTTGAAACGAAAACATTCAGTAAATTACCCCAATTTCGGGGCCGGACGTCAAACAGGCAAAAATGGCGCACACACGGAAATGTGTTATCGGTGAAAGCCGGATAAGTGTTGGATTTCTGGTGAAGCCGAAATCTGTCCCGAAGAAAACCGAGGCGAACGGGCTGTCATTGCTCGGTTCACCGTGTCTGTCGTTTGCACTTTGCTGTGACGTTTCGGGATATCATAATCGTGTAGGGTGGCTCAGAAAAAAGTTGACCATGTTTTCCTCATCAGTAGAAAGTGTATTTGTCGCACAAGCATGGCCATAGTGGCAATCGACTGCCAAGTCAATGACGAAACACGATCAGCGACAGTGGAAGCCGTCAGTGATTCCAGACTCGTGTGGGGTGGCTCAGAAAAAAGTTGACCATGTTTTCCTCATCAGTAGAAAGTGTATTTGTTGCACAAGCATGGCCATAGTGGCATTCGACTGCCAAGTCAATGACAAAACACGACCAGCGACAGTGGAAGCCGTCAGTGATTCCAGACTCAGCAAAGCGGGAGATTACAGAGGGTGTCCTATATGGGCCCCAGGCGGTCCAGGATGCGCGGGGGCTGCACCTGCCGTAGGTGGTCGATAATCTAGTCCGTCCTGTCGGCGCAGATGACTTCTATCTCCAGCCTAAAGGAAGCCGTGAGCTCCGTGCAGCCTCGCTGTCTCGCCCACGTGTAAGCGGTCCTTCAGGTAGCCCAGTGTCATACAGGGTGACTGGTCGGGCTGGTGAGGAGCCCACAGAACGGCAGTCTTCAGGCTGATGTGCCTGCAATTGAAATGTTCCTCCAACAAGACCAGTAAAGCCCATGCCGTGTGCGGTGTCGCCCCGTCCTTCTGGAGCCAGTCCCCATCCCAATCGATTCCGTGAAGTCTCGCAAGGACCGCACAGAATCGTATCGGAGTGGTACCCTTGTCACGCCTCCAGGTGGCGTTGACGGAGTACTCGCTCTCGCCTTCGAAAAAGCACCTGCATGCGGTGCGGTTTCCCTGATGTTAGCTCACTGATGACTAATATTGTTTTTTAGTATGTTCGGCCATTGAAGTGGCGCTCGGATGTCGCCACAGTCGTTACTTTGCATCTATGGCTGAGGGCAAATGCTATATCCCCCCAAGTTGTGAGGACGTCTCCGCTATCATCTTGCTAGCGACGGAGCCCAGATACTTAATGGAAAAATAAGTCTTATTTTGCTAATAAGAGTCTATTAAGTATCCAATGGACTACCAATGGTATATATTAGCCTCTCAGCCGCGTCGCTAGAACCACTTCATGTTCAAGACCACATGGAAACGGATTCCGTCTCCATTGAAATCGGTCCTGGAATCGAGTCACATCTTTAATCAACATCGGAGTCGACTAAGAATTGTGCTCCGCTGCCCGAAGTCGAGTTGAAATCAGTTATATGTCAACAGCGAGTCGCTTTTGGAATCCAGCAATTTAGTAGTGGAATCAAGCACGACTCTGGTGATAGAAAATGAATTCCTAACTTAAGTGGATAGATAAACTAAAACAAAATGCGGTTGTCTGCATTAGTCCGGATGGCTGGCATGACATCAAGACAGACAAGATGGGGCGTACTCGGCCCATGGATGCGGCCCACGATCAGCCCACGTGAGCAGCCTCTTCAAAAACGTTCTAAAACATTATGCCGCGCATTTTCTGCGAGCTGGACAGGGGGGTACACTTCATTCCTTCACGACAGGTGTACCCTAGATTCTATCGCTAAATGCTCAGACTCGGCTATGGAAGGTTACTTAGTGGAGTATTTATGACCCTATTTGTAACTCTATGAACAGACGCCAAATGACGCAAACAATATGATAGCAAATTATGTTTCTTAAATAACAGGCACTGGTATCGGTATTACGCAAGTAATAATTGTTTATACTATGGTCCCCGCACCCTGTATGTATGGTTGCCTATCCGTCTATCTATTCGTCATCTTTTTCCCCTGGTACGCTAGCAAAAATGACTTGGTCCTCGGGTGTACCTAATTTACCGACTTTGGAGCATACTTCAATTGGCCGCTCCTTTGGGCTCGCTGTACGTTAAACATGAACCGATTGCGGGCTGTACTGACATACATTAGACCT